TTTAAATCCATTTTGTCCAATTCCTTAGGCCTAAAAGATGTATTATACACTCTAGAACCTTCCCTAGTCCATTTAACCCATTAGATTTAATTAAAATAGGTTTTAAAACAAATCTGGGCATTAAAAACCAAAACCCCAACTGAGCAAGCTAAGTTACAATTGAGCAGCCTCAGTTGCTAACTGAGGGGGCTGAATTGCTAACCGAGGGGACTCAGTTGCTAACCGAGGGGGCTCAGTTGCTAACCGAGGTCCTCAATTGCTAACTAAGGGGCCTCAGTTAGTTCTAGGGTCTTCTTCTTCGTCTCCGGTGTTTTCCAGACCTCTGTAATGTTCTTAATGGTTGTTCTAGGGTTCAATCTTAGTTCTAGGGTAGTCTTAACCCATTGTTAACCAATCCTAACCTGTATAGAACACAACCCTTTTTGAAGCAAACAATTACAGAATTCTCAGTTCTAAACTTATTCGATTCAAAACAGATTTCTTCGGTGAAATTTGAATACTGTTTTTACTACTTGATTCAGAGTTTAATCTCAGCCCCAGATTAATGACTAATCATCAGTACATAATCATGATCTCAACTTAATCAAAATTTAAACATAAAAACCAAGAAGAAACCAATAACAGAAACATCAACGATTACACAAATTTCTTATGTCAATGAGATTAATATAATTCATACATGCATACAAGACTTGATATAATATTCGTTTAATCCATTTTAGTCTTTAAATAAATCCCTGGAGTCTAACTAGGCATGCACAGAACACGAATTAACGGGAAAGAATAGAACAGAGACTTGCCTGTAGTTTCTGATTTTGAAACTGTAATCCACCGTCTCTAAAGTTTCTGACAACGTCCTAGACTATCGTTCCACTTCTCCGGTGCTCTTAGTTCAACCCAAAAGCACTCCACTCCTTCCACCTTAAGCCTCTCTGTAAATTACTCAAACTCCTTCTCTGTTTCTCTGCCCTCACAACTCTCTGTATGACTCTGTTCGTACATAAAATCTACGTTTTGTTTTGTGTTGTTTTAAACCCTAAGCCATCATAACATACATATTTATAGACCTAACATTAAACCCTAATCCATATACAACTCAGCCCATTGAACAACCTAGGTTTAAAATAGTGTCGGTAATAAGAACTTACGTAAGTTTATAAGTACCAGAAATATAATAACAATGAATTAAATAAATAAATAAAAAACAACCATTAACAATTAATTAATAATTAACAATTAATCAAATAATTAAAACAAATAAATAATTAACAATTAAGCAAAAATTAACAAATAAATAATTAACCAAAATACATACCATTTAATCACCACAATAAACAAGTAAACAATTAATCAAATAAAAAAAAACAATTAAATCCAAAAATGTAAATACCAGAAATATCCTTTTAAAATTAGGGGTATTACACATTTGAAGCCCATCTGCTATATTTTATAAATAACAGCCCAAATAGCATTGGGTTGAAGATGCTCTAGAGATTCTCCAATGCTAAAAGTCATTTTCACATGCCAAATCTATATTTTGACATATGCTATAGTGTCAAAATGTTACATTTTAGCAATTTTGCTCCAATGGTGCATTTCATGGAAAATGCTATTTTTTGACACAACCACTATTCTTTTTCAACTACCATTCCCACAACTACATTACCAAGTAGAACCTATATTTAATAAACACTTCTAACACGAACCATGGAAATATTGAATCTAATACTAGAGTTGTACAATTGGAAGGTGGCCTAAAAAGGTAGAGATAACTTTGCAATATATCAAACTATCAATCCCTGATTATATAGCCCCCTATCCTGTGACTAATTATTTGTGATGAACTTGTCACTTAAACATTGCTATAAAAAATTTTGCTTTAATTTAGAGATTAAAATTTACACTAGAAAGATGGTTTTGGGGCAAAAACATCATTACAACAGGACATTACATCCCAACACTACATTACCAAGTAGAACCTATATTTAAGTAACATGGGGGCTTGCTGCAAACAGACTTATATATCCCACCTCTTCTTCACACGGAACATCAACACGACGCTCTAATATCATCAAACACATTTTTTTATTTATTTTTAATCTCAAATTATGAAATTATTTCAACAACAGCAACAACACTGAATTGGGAAAGTGTATATGTAAAAAAAGATGAGAAAAATGAATTTTGAAATAGTTCCATTTATTTGATGGGAAAAAAAGAAAGCCAATCAACACTGAAATTGAATTGAAGACTGCAAAATACACGTACACACACATGGAAATCAAATCAACACAAAACATATGCACAGAGAGAGAAATCTGGATCACAAATACAAAACCCATGCCGGATTTTAGAATGAAATTGAAATTCATTGGACAAAATACATAAAACGAGTATAAACAACAAATCTAACAAGAACCTAATATATTCCTGGTTGAATTGCTTAACAAAGATTCCAATTTCGGCTAAACACTTCAAAAACCCCAGTCCATAACCTCTGGGGAAATATACAACTGAACAGTAAATAATTGAATAAATTTTGCTAAATTCCCAATTGGGTTAGCATCTCAATTAATCCCAAAATGATAACAATAAACAATTGAATAAATTTTTCAAAATTCTCAAAATTAAGCCTTGGGAACAAAAATTAAAGGAAAAATAAATAAATAAATAAAAATCGAATATGGGATGATCATTCGTCCCAGTGGAGGCCGACTGCAGCATTGCAACCGTCGTCGGAAAAAACTTAGGAAAGTGAAAGAAAAAAATCATTTGGTATATAAATGAGAAATTAAAGATGATTATGAGACACACACAAATGAAGTGCATATATAAATATATATGTAAAAATTGAGTTTTGTTTTGATTGGGAACTGAGAAAAAGAAAATGAGAAACCTGAGACGAGAAAATTCAAAGGCGATCTTCTGAGATCTTGGAATTTCATTTTTTTCACTCTCTTAACATGGGGCTTTCCATTCAACAAAAAAATCATAAAGGCGCAAGACTTACAGTTATCAAATTTGTAATGGAGAAAACAATCTGCAAACGAACGCGATCAGCTTTCAACAAACCCTAGAAATAGCTTCCTTCTACAGTTTCAAAGCGACGGAAGAGTGGCTATGGTGTAGACGAGTTGTCTATGGTTTGAGGAGAGAGTGTGTGGTGTAGGAGAGGGAAAGAGGGAGAGAGGAGGGTAGGGCTGAGGACGAAACAAAATGATCAGGATGCCGCTGTTCTCTTCTCTCTCTCTCTCTCTCTCTGTTGCCCTAATAGGAACGAAATATCAGAAATAGCAAGTGCCATTTCTTGTGTTAGAATTGGCAAAGTTAAAATTTAGCAAGCTAAATAACAGCCCATTGGAGATCCCATTTGAAGCCCATCTACTATATTTTACAAATATCAGCCCAAATAGCATTGGGTTGGAGATGCTCTTATTTATAGAGTATCCCGGTGAGAGTCCAATTTATATTTTCTTATTTGTTAGTTGAGTTAATGGCTATAAAGAGTCTTTGTTGGGCTAGAATGGAAATGTAAATTCAATAGAAGATATGTGTAACAAGAATTATTTGTCCCATGTCGGATTCGAATGAAAAAGTGGTTGGGTATGTAACACTATCCAACAGTTTGAATTTTTGGGTAAATGAAAAAGCGCTCAGCCGTTACCGTTGGTATCAAAGCCAGACTCAGTCCTTGATCTGGTGACTCGAGCAACAACGAGGGTGATGCGAGTTTGGGTGGGACATTACTACGGATCATTTTCTTATGATATTTCTTGTAATTATGAAATTTACAAACAAAGTTCTTTATTTTTAGACCCATTTTACTACCAAAAAGATAAAAATAAATAAAAATTAAATTAGTAATACTTTTTTACTTTCTAAAAAATAGAATTTCTTTTTTTATTTTTCAATTTTTAGTTTTGTTTTCTTTTATCTCATTTTTTTATTTCATTTTTCATTTTCTTTCTCTTTATTTCTTTATTTTAAACCACAGGTATTTAACCGAACTTAGAAATAAAAATGGTGCTAATTGTAAAATGAATATATATATATATATAAAAAAAAAAAAGAAACATATGAAGCTGTTACTTGTCACTATTAAATTTAAACAGTATATATGAATCTAAAACATAAAAACTTATTTTTAAGCTACAGTTTTGACTTTTAGCAATTGGCAACGAATAGAAGGGATTAGCGGGCGTTTAATGACCATGTGTTATATAGATATACACTTGTGTGGGGTCCACAACTTTATTAAGTCATACATGTAATCATAATTTTAAGGCTTACAAAGAAAGATTGCTTTGGAGGCGTACAGAAGAAGCCATTCTTGAAGCTTATAAAAGGCATTGTGCATGTATAATTTAAAGGACAATCTGAAGTCTCATTTTCTCTCTGTCTTTCTTTCGTTCTCTCTCTATCGATCTCTCTGTGCAAGTTATAATACACAATATACTATACACACACACACACACACACACACACACACACACACACACATTTATTACACGTTATCAGCACGAGCTATCCATCTGAGTTTTGAAGAAGAAAGCTTTCTCTCCCTCTTTCTATCCCAACTATATATCTATTTTGTGATATTAGTTTTGATAGATTGTTGGGTTGGTTTGCTTTATCGGATAAAATAATATTACTGACTCCAAAGGGTAAGGAAGTGTTAATTATGGATTATTATTCATAAAATAAATTTGTTCACTTAAATGATATATGTTCTACCACCTTTATTATTTAATATTTTATGGCTGATTTTACCGCCTTTATTGTTTAATAATTTATTTATAATGACTGGATTGACCATTATTGTTGTTTAAATAATTTATATTATGTTATTATTTCATTTTAATTCCATTTTATTTATATGCTAAATTATATTTTTATATTGTTGTCATATCTAGTTATTCTGAAAATGTCAAATCTGACAAAGCTGGAATTCGTGGCCTTATTTATCATGGATTTTGGATGCTCAGATCCATTTGGATGCCATGGGCCTTGGAGACACAATTAAAGAAAATAATGATGCATCATTGCAAGATAAAACAAAGGCCATGATTTTTCTCCGGCGCCATATTAGTGAGGAACTGAAAAATGAATACCTCACTAAAAGAGATCCACTTTGTTTGTGGAACAATTTGAAAGACAGATATGATCATAAAAAAACAGTTATCCTCCCAAAGGCCAGGGCTGATTGGCTGCAACTGAGGTTGCAAGATTTTAAAACTGTGGCTGAATATAACTCTGCCCTATTCAAAATCAGCTCTACATTGAAATTATATGGTGATACTGTTACTGATGAACTTTTGCTAGAAAAAACATTCACCACATTTCAAGCCTCGAATGTACTCTTGCAACAATAATATCGAGAGCGTAGATTTACAAAATATTTAGAGTTGATATCATGTTTGCTTGTGGCAGAGCAAAAAAATGAACTGTTATTGAGAAACCACCAGTCCCGTCCAACTGGATCGACACCGATCCCAGAAACATATGTTGCCTCATCCCGTGGTCGTGGACGCGGACGTGGACGTGGTCGTGGTGGTAGAAATGAATATGGTCGTGGCAAAAATAACTACCACAATAATGAATATGGTCGTGGTAGAAATCATTCTTATTACCGTGAAGGATATTAATCCTCACATTCTCGCAATCAGAGATCCACACCATATCCTCAAAAGCGAGATTATAATGAAATGAGACAAGTAAAAGGGAAGGATGTGGCTCAACCTTCCAAGGCTCGTGATAATACTTGTTACCGATGTGGCATGACAGGGCATTGGCAAAGGCAAAGTATTTGTCGTACACCTAAACATCTGGCTGAACTTTACCAAGCCTCAATGAAAGAAAAAAGGAAACAAAAGGAAATGAATTTCCTTGATCATGATGAGCCAGATGACATCACAAATTTGGAAATGAATTTCATTGATCATAATGAGCCAGTTAACATCACAAATCTGGATATATCAGATTTTTTTGAGGGCCGTGATGAAAAGATAGACTTTCTGATTGGTGATGGAAATGTCCACACCAATTAATTATATATATTTTTTTATGTACTGTCTACTATGTTTTTGTTGTCCTTGAATTAAAGTTTTTATTTGAGTTGATCAATGTATTAGGGTAAAGTGCAAAAAACTCCTAAATTTTATTCTATCTTCTTAAAAAAAATCTTCTTAAACTATATTTTTACTCTTAACTCTTTGAACTATCAAATTTTTTGCAAAAATTACCCACCGATAAAGTTCCGTTTAATTTATCTAGCCAATTAGGCACGTGATGAACATATGCCAGCATTATATTTTTAAAATTGCAAAAATTACCCACCAATGAAGTTACGCTTGATTTCTCTGGCCAATTAGGCATGTGATGAACACATGCCAGAACTATATTTTTAAAATGATTAATTCCACATACACCCCCTGAACTATGCTAATATTCCACACACACCCCCTCTACGTTTCAAAATTTCACCTATTCCCCCTGTCAGTAATTGTGATACCCCCGGATTTCCAGATGCGGGTTGGCCAGACCCAAACCCGAATACCCGATAATATCAAAAATAAATCGATAATAATCGAACACAGAGTACAAAATAGATAAATAAGAATAAATTTTTTTTGAAAGAAAACTAAAATGATAATCCTTTAATTGAAACCTCAGAATAAAATTCTATTAAATAATAAATTATTCTGATACAATTAATCCTCCAATAATACAACTTGAGAATCCATACCGTGTGGACCCTTAGAAAATCTCAAAACAAAAATCAATACTAAACAACTGTCTACTACTAGATACTGAATCATAAAGGAAACTCCTATGTAGACAATCCGGAAAAATGAAATAGATAATCCCTACTCAGCACGAACAATCCCTAGTCCTGACAAATACCTGAAAAATAATGGTGGGTCAGGCACACAAACAAGTTCTAATCTACTACGGTCCAAGCAGAGATTCAATACACATATACATCCTAGTCAATCCAACAATCACTATAGGACGCTCACTAGATTATATGTCTGTCTCAACCTGAATAGAAGGCAATATGCAAATCGCACATAAAGTGGGCAGGAGTACCTAGACCTACCAGGGCACCCAGATGTTTACTATATCCAGTTATCCATCCTAGGCAATATACGTACCCTAACCATGATCCTGAGACTCAAGCTTATATCATGGCATCATATTTATATATATATATAATCCAGTAACCATCCTATCCAGTAAAAAGTAATCCTCTAAAATTAATCCTCTATAAGTAATCCTCTATAAACCATTCAACTTATTTAGCTGACCTGACTTGAATATAGGTAGGACTTAACATTCTTTTGGTTAATCTATCCATTTACAAAAATAGGTAGGACTTAACTGATAAGTTAATCCGTCCCTAGAATGCCACCATCCCATACCGGTGCATTACATCCATACAATCCAATTATTGATGAAAGAAATAAAACAATACATCAATAAACCGGGAATAAGCATAATAATAATTAGATATAAAGAATCATATTATGCAATCAACACAAGATTAAAATTATATAACATCCATATTAATTGTGAAGTTATTTTTAAGCAATTAAATCATCCATTCCATCCAATAATTGATGAAGAAATAAAACAACACATCAATTAATTCAGAGATAAGTATAATTAAAATCAGATAATTAACTGAGCATATTAGACTGCTAACACATGATTAAAATCATGCAACATCCATTTAAATTGCTAGAATAATTTTCAGTAATTAAAACATCCACCAACAACATGCAAATTTAATTAAAATTTTATATTGTTCAAATCCTTAGCACATTAATATAGATTATACATTGTGGGTTTTTAGCATGTACTTCGTAGTCATTTAAAACCCTTATTACAGTCTAAGCAACCATAGAAAATCCCAAAAATCCAAAACAGAACCATAAATACACTTTCTGCAGTGTTCCAGCAAGAGAGCATGCTCTATCCAAAAGGAGCCACCTCCACTTTTCCATTTGAATGGAGTCGTCTCCATTCGAATGGAGCCGCTTCCATTCCTTCTACTCTCCTTCTTCTTCATCTCCGGTGTCCTCTGATCATTCCGACCATCTTCCTTAAGGTTCCTAACATTTTGTTTTAAGTTCCAGATGATCCCAATTGATTTTATAAAGTTCTTATGCATCTTTTACACTAATTAAAACAAGATTCAAGCAAGGAATTTCAAAATCAAGCAAGTATGAATATAAACACATAAATTATGTTTTTATTCCGATTAAACATGCATACATGGTTAATTTATTATCTGATTAATCCTGGAATTAACCTAGGCATGTATAGAACACGAAATCTAAGAAAAAGAGTAGAAGAAGAACTTGCCTCTAGGTTTCGGATTGAAACATTAACCTCTTCTTCCTAGCTTTTCTGACGATGTTTGGCCGCCATCGACGCCTCTTACTGCTCTGGTTCTAACCCCCGAACAACCCTCAATCTTCCTCCTTGTTCTGGCCTTAAGTCTTTGGCCAAAACCCTAATTTTTTCTCTATTAAAAACTCTCTGTTTTCTCTCAAACCTTATCTTCCTCCAATAGTACGTGAATAGGGTTCTAAACCCTTGGCAGACATAAGGTATATACATATACATATATGTTATACACTAAAACCCTAATTCTAATTATACCCCAATATTAATACAATAAATGGAAAAAGAAAAATAAAATATAAATATAAATATACATACATATACTAAGTCTGATAAAACGTGACTATATATACATATATAATATATTATTATAACTATATATATATATATATATATCACTAATTATTATAATTTTACTATTAGTAATAAATAAATACTAATAATAATAATTAAACTATCCTTATATATATATACCCATATATATATATACACATACACAACCATCCATGGGTAATTATCCATACCCATCTAATCTCCTATCCAAGTAGTTCATGTGACCCATTGGGTAATCCATTACTACTATCCAAATTCAAATCATTTTTAAAATAAAATTAATATTAAATAAATCAATTAATCATTTAAAAGTAACAAATAATTTACAAGAAATTTCACACAATTAAACAAACAATTCCCACACTATCAATCAATTAAAACACACAATTAAATCACATATTTCAAATAAACAATTAATCAAATAAACTCATAGCCACATAATCAATTAAAAATGCACTTGAAATAAATAATTAAATTTCAATTATATCCTTTTGAAAATTAGAGATATTACAGTAATCACCGTCTAATTTACTAATGGAAAAGTGTAATTTTACTATTTTACCCTTTAATTATATATAAAAATTTATAACTAAAAAGAAAAGACTTTAACACCCTCTTAACACCATTAAATTTCTCTCTCTACTCTCACACACATATTTATACACACACACACACACACTATATATATATATATATATTTTTATTTTATTTTATTTTTTTTCTTTCTTTCTTTCTCATTATTGCCAGCGACTAAGAAACTATGCCACCGATGGAATGCACAACAACCACTGGAAAATATGGTTCTTATCACAGCCGAGCCGTTCTCCTTACTTCCTTCCATTCAATTGCAAGGACACATCGCCGTTCAACCTTCAGTCCTTACTCCATTGCGAGCTTCGCCGGATTGAACTAAACTTCACCAGAGTTAGGATTGCCAGACTGAACTTGGTGAAGCGATCTCTAGCGAGTTAAAAAACCGATTTTGCCATTTCTCCACCTCGACCTACCACCAACACTGCTGACACTAACCACCATCCACAATCACCCTTTGCAAACAACACCACTAGCAGACCCAAGATCCAATTGTGAAAAAAAAATAGTGTAGTTGCAGGGTCTGTTTGGGAGAGCGGAATGAAGATTGATGAAGTCGAAGGAGGTATCTAAGTATTCAACCCAAAATTTGAATCATGTGAAGAGGTTTTATCGGCAATAAGAAGATCAGACCCGATGGCGGCACGTGACTGTCGTCACCCTTCAACAATTTAAGTCATAACCTTGCCGGAAAATTCCATCTCCGTCGAACTCAAGGTTCATAAATGATCAACTCACTGCTGACAATTCCTCCCCCGGAACTCACTTGATCTCGCCGGAAACCTGACTCCATTCATTGTGATTTTTCTTTTTTGTTTCCAAATCAAATCAGGGGAAAAAAAAAATTAGGATGAAAATCTAGCGATAAACGCATCCTAACATTGAACGGATGTGTTGGTCTTTGCTTTTGTTTTGATAAAACAATTCAATAGAACAAAATTAATCATTTGTACGTGTTTTCTTCTTTTTATCTATAACCATCTTGAACCGACGACGAATATTAGAGGGTTAATGGCGAGATTATTAGAAACATAGAGAGATTTCCAAAAACAAAATTCCAACTACAGAGATTTCCAAAAACAATATTCCAACTAGAGAGATTTCTAGTTGAGAGAAGGAGGGTTCTACAACGAGAAGGGGATTTCAGTTCAGAAAGATACAGAGAAGATTTTCAGCAAAGAAGGGGATTTTAGATCACACGGTAGATTCGACGGCGTTTGGATCGAACTAAGGATTCCTCCTTTTTTAGTCTGGCGAGCAACGACTTGTTTGGTCACCATCTTTTGGTGCCTGGATTAATATTGTGGGCTCA